TAATTTGGCCGCGTTTGTGTTTAGAGAAAAAAAGAAGATTAAGAAGATACGTGAAACGAGATGAACCATACTGATTAGTTGAGTATTAATTATTTAAATTTGAAAAAAAAGAATTAATATAATTTTATAAAGAAATTTTCCTATAGAAACTTTTTGCAAAACGTACCATTTAATAGTTTGGAAAACGTGTGTGTGTGGAGAACTAGAGAGATCTTCTCTAAAGCTGCCGAACAAGAGAAATCTTCTCTCAATCTTGCCTTGTCAATCTTGTCACTCTCACAGCAATTGGAGGTGTAGGATGGGTAACACCACAGATAAAGTGAGATAAGTGATGCATCTTAGATTAGAGTTACAGTACTACTCTATTCGTCTCAGAAAATGCACTCAGTCTTTTTTTTTTGAGAAAATACACTTAATGTAAACAAGGATATGACATCTTCTATTATAATAGATCTGGATAAAGAGTTAATTATCCAGATTCATTGAACAAGAAGAAAGAGTCACATATCCGTCTAGATTGAGTTTTTTTTGAGAATGGTACAACTCAGGACGCACACACACACTACACTCACACCACAACACACGCGCACACACGCGTGCGCGTCCTTAACACACACTAGGAATGAGATTGGAGACCACTAGGTCTCAGTGCACGGGAAATGTGCAGTCCCACTAAACACGCACACGTATGTACCTTATTTCTAGTCGAGACTGCCCCGAAGGACAGTCCCGAAGAAAGACGGGGAAAAATCCCGTCGAGGTGAGGTCCCGTGAGTCGAACTCGCGACCGGCTGTTCGCTCCACTGCGAATGTGCCAACCGAGCTACGCTCGGTCCTCAGATTAAGTTATTTTTGGATGAAGAGAGTACGTAGCATTAGGGCATGTACAAAGGTAGAGTCAGATATGAGCTCTACGTTATCTAGAGACTAGCATCCTACAACAGTTAGAGACAATATGGTCTCTAATCATTAATGTATCAAAATACTTTTTCTTACTTTTCTTTCCTTTCTTTCACCACCATACAACAAAATTTGCTCTAATAAATGCTAAGAGTTGACTCTAAGCTGTTGTCATGCATAACAACCATACTCATTTCTCTTTCTTCCATGTCATCAAATTTACTTGCATGGCAATAGAAAGAGACCACTGATAAACACCATTGTACGTGCCCTTATAGAGTAAGAGCTAAAAAGTGGGGTGTGGGATAACCTCAGCAATAATATAAGCGAAATTCCGTGGGAGTATTAAGTATCCCGTCCAGACGAAATTCCGTGGTGTAGTCTCTTTTTAAAAATAATATAAGCGAGAATCTACTCTGTTTAGAAAGCCAGAAAGCTTGAGATTGTAATAAAAAACTGCAACAAACTTCTTAAGATTTAAAAGAAACTACAAGCTCTCTAAACACAGTGAAAAGGTCCTACGAGTCTATCCATATGACCATATCTGAACAATTTTGTTAAACTTTACACGAACTGTAAGTCTGTAACAGCGTACGTGCATTGGACAGTAGCGGTAGGTGAGGTGCAGGGCATGGACGGACGGGAGAACGCGAGAGGTTGCATGCCATGCCATGGATGCCACGCGCGCGCCGGAGACGGCCGTGGCGCCACGGCGACGCACAAGCGCGCCATGCCAAACCCAGCGCGCGGCGGCCATGCGTGGCGAAGCATGTCAGACGGTGCGCTCCAGCGCGGCGGGGGCATGCAGGCGACGACGACGACGCAATTAATCAACCTAAGCGGCGGGAGTCCCGAGCTCAGTTACCACCATGGAAACATTGGTATCGGACGGATCGATCCACGTAGGGACGAGGGGGAAATAGTCGAAAACGGTGTCATTATTTTATTATTTTATAGAAACAAATAAAAACAGAAAAATTTTATATTTATAGATTTAATTATTTAGTGTCAACTTTGACTCCACATTGATAGAAATAGGAAAAAAACTATACCTTATTTAGAAACGGTAACCGTGGTAAAAATTATTATTATTATATTATTTTTTCTGTCGCTCGTCGTGAAATTTTCATACCGTTTTTATCCATCGGTCTGGTGGGCTCACGGGTTGGGTTGGGCCGCCGGTCGCCGCTGCACTTGGAACAGGCCTAGAAGGCCAGGCAGCAAGACAAATATGTGAGCCTTATGAGATTAACTCCTTGGGCTGTTTTAGGCATCGGATATGTTTCACTTACATATAGGTCTCATGTGTTTTTTTTTGTTTTTTTGCTTATTGTTCTATGTCACTCAAAATAGCCTTTAATACTGTTTTAGGACTGAATTTTGAATAATAAAGGATGTGTTCATCCCCATTTTGCGGTTTAGGGATGTGATTTAAAACTTAACGTAAAAAAGAAGGGACCTAACATGAACTTATTCTTCCACTTGTTCCCGTGTAGCAGCCCAGCCCAATTATGCTGATCATCCATGCAGAAAAGTGAACTAAACATTTTCGTCAGATCAGCACTAGAAAACTGTCTGACAAAAATATAGCAATTCCGAAAAATTAATTAAAGCTCTCTGTTTACAATCCCAAAGAAAACCAGTCTTCTGATCGGGTCGAAAGCAGAAAACGCTCGGGTATTTTAAGTCAAAGATGAAAACAAAACAAACTGAATGTTAGTTTTTTGACAATATTTGTTGGGATTCATTGGTTTTGTAAATGGATTCCACGAAATCTCATGAGCGGTTTATTTTCTATATTGGGATTGTAAACCCTGATATCAATACTACAGTCAATTAGTCAAATAAATCCAGCTGCCCATGACCATATATACGTATGTGTCCAGGGTAGTAGAATATCCACTCCTCAAGCACATGCATGCTCAGCAAGCCAGCAAATTAAAGTCCTTGATGCAAAAAGAGTGAAAGACACAGTTCCTGAATATTAAAATCGCTGAATCTACCACAATTATATTAAAATTGACCCTCGTGTGCCTGCACATATGAGTCTCCTCTCCAGTACCACTAGCATGTAGGATTAAATTAATTACCATGTAGTTAACGAGCTGATTAACTAGTTAATTTTTCATCTGATAAAGATGTGCATATTCCTCTTCCCATTCTCGTAGCTTTTAAGCTAGCAACGTACACGCAAACAAGACGAGGATAGAATCTTCCTTTTTCTTCCCTTTTTTTATTTCTTTTTGCTGCAAGTTGGGCATCAGCTTCAGCTAGCTCGATCGATCACGAATTCACGAGATCTATGAGAAGAAAATCTCGGCAAACATGATGGAATCTGCCCTGCCGCCCTTTTGCCGATGAAGAAGACGTATGCATCTCAAGAGAAGTTTCCCCTTGATCACACAAGATTCTAAAGCTAATTGTACTTAGAGAAACTTAGTTTGGGAGGAGTTTTAAGAATTCTTTTCTTAGGCAGGCAAGCACAAGTCCCATAAGTGGTCGGTGTGCTTGCTCAAAGCAACTTGTATTTGGTAAAAAAAAAGCAACTTGTAATTAGCTGTTTGTGAGTTGTGACCTGTGAAGATGTGTATATATCTTCCTTCATGTGTGCTCTACTGGATTGTTTGCTTTGGCCTTTGGTGCTTGTCCCTGTGACTTGAGACAGCTACCCAGAAGATGGGGCCTTGTGTATCCACACTTTCAAGCGATCCAAAAGGGCAAGAATTATTAAGCATGCATGCTGTTAGCATGGTTATCTTTTCTGATTAAACAATCATTAATCTCAGGTTCTAGTGATTTATAGCACATCAGTGAGTTAATGTTGGTCAAGTCTCACTTGCTGCAATATTAGTCAAGTCAAGAGAATGTTCATTTTGGTTTCAGATAGTTTTCGGTGCTCAAGTGGGGTACTTCCACACCCCAAAAAAGAATCAGATACCAAAGTTCAGTCATTTTGATTCTCAGCCAAATGCTAATTAAGACCATCTGATCACCTTGACCCAACAGCCTAATCATTTGGAAAATTAATAGAACACATCACACTGATGAGTAAAACTGATATTAGTGGATTTGTCATATATTAAATAAACACTTCCATATAATTAAGTTTATTTCTTTTTCTAAATATGTGATAAAGAGAAAGTCCCATTGGTTTTTAGTGGCTAGCACCACAAATTAGTGGGTTGATCAGCCTGGGTTTGGGACTCACTCCGTGCTTAAAACCATTGATATAAAGTCCTTCCTTTCATATCCAGATGAAGTCTTACGGCCTCATCGTTTGTCTTATTTGGGGAACAAGTCAAACAGCATATTTACAAATGAAAAATAATTTGTGAATAAAACTTCTATATACGTGTTCTTAACGATCTAAAAGCAAATACTGAAAAATAAACTTCGATGAAAAAAAATCCCCAAATCACTAAGGTTGAAAATTCAAATTTTGAATGATAAGCATAAGCATAAGAGAAAAGATAAGGCTATTAGACAATAAGATTTAGAAAATAACATATATTAAATTTCCTGAATATGTGATAAGAACATAAGAAGATTATGGATTGTTACCCCTAAAAGAACCCCAAAAGACTGAATTTTAAGAACAGGAGAATATCCCTCAAATCCTCAATACAAACAAAAAAAAACATCACATTAGAAAAAACACCCATCACATTACTGGAGTACAGTGACAGTCGACAGTTGACACTAATCCAGATCTCACAAGCCCAGCAGGTGAGAAAGCCTGAAAAAAGCAGTAGCAGTAAAGGCATTGGCAAGCTAAGCTAAGCAAAGAGAAACAACCTATAGGTTGCAGACTTGCAGTGACCTGAGTAGCACCCTAAAGTTTTAAATTCAAATCTCTATATAAGCACATTTTAGATTGGGTTATTTGAGGGCTAAGTTTCATATTTAATATGCTAAGTTTCTAATATAAAAGATTGTATATATCCAGTTAGATATAGAGACCGAGGAAAAGAATACCATTTAAGGCGAAAAAAAAAGAGAAGCAGCCAGCCAGACAGGTTGGAGCTAGGCAGCTGCTAGCCAACTGCCATTCCCACACCAACCAACCAAAGAAGGAATGCGCAGTCAACCACATAGCGTGAGTCTTACCCGCCAAAACCGCCGAAAGCCATCCCCCGCCTCCTCCTCACGCCACCCCCTCTCGCCATCGCCGCTATAAAGCTCCTCTCCTCCCATGGCGGCGTCTCCTACTTCGATCTACACGCTGCTTTCAACTCTCTGAGAGCTAGCTAGCATGTCTTGCTTTGGCATGGCGAGCGGGAGCAGCGCCGGGTGGCCGCTGTCGCCGTCGCCGTCGTCGACGAGGGGGAGGAGGAGGGTGAGTGTGAAGCCGTGGCGGTTGTGGTGGCGGAGGTGCGCTGGAGTTGCGGCGGTGATCCAGTCCAAGATCCATCGCCGCGCCGTGCGGTGGCCGGGCGGGCATGGTGGTGGGCGCCGGCGCCGCGAGGCCGCCACGGCGTCGACGCGGGAGCGGGAGGGGTGGTGCCATCACCGGAGCTTCGCGCCGGTCTACGTCGACGAGCTCTACAGCCATCCCAAGACCCACCACGTCGCCGTCCACGAGGCGCAGGCGCAGCAGCCGAACACCACCGCTGCCAAGACCAACGCCGGCGCCGCCAGCGGCAAGGCGCGCGCCGTCGCCGCCGCCGCCGCCAACAACAACAACAACGCTGTAGCCGCGACCAACGCTAGCGCCATGTTCGCCGCCAAGAACGCTGCCGCTGATGCTGCGACCAACGCCGCTGCCGGGGCCAGAGGCAAGGGGCGGGTGGGCGGCGGCAAGAAAGCTGCTGCCGCTGGCGCGGCGACCAACGGCGGCGGCGCCAAGGCGGCGCGCGGCGGCGTGAGGAGCTTGCTGATGAGCCCGCTGAGAGGAGGAGGAGCGTGTGGGATGGGGGAGGTGGATGTGAGGGCGGAGGTGTTCATCAGAAAGTTCAGGGAGGAGATGAGGCTGCAGAACCAGAAATCCGCCGAGGAATTCCAAGCCATGCTCGCGAGAGGCCTATGACACATCATCATCTTAGTTTATTATTAGTCATTTGTATAATAATCATAATCTAAGCATGATTATTAAGAGTTATTGATAGGTAGCTATGGTTTGGAGTTTGGAAGATTTTTAGGGGCTTAGGTAGGAGGAGATTATGTCGTGTTCTTAAGATTGCTATAGTTTGAATTTGGAGTCTTTTCGTGTAAATATTAGTTTTATGTAGGATTGTTGCATTCATTGGTTGCATGGATGTATATTGCTGGGTGTTTATCACAATTCACAAGGAAAAAAAGAAACAGGGATTTCCGGCTTGTTTAGATCATCAGTTTGCATACTCTCCAGGGGAAAAAAAATCTTGCATGGGTAACGGTGATCATCCGTCGCAGGAGAAAGTATAAAAAGAGTCTGAATCATGGTAAATACAATCGAGTCACTTACACACAAAAATTAGCACTTCTCCATCCTGCTTTGTACATTACGTATCCATAACTTCGGCATCTCAAATAAGCATATGCAAGTATGCAACTCCTTTTTTCCATATCATTTATAGAAAGATCAGCAATACAAACACAACCATCCGGACAAGAGGATGGTAACATCTGGAAGAGAAGTAGAGAGCTCTTAGCTCTAAATTATCACTCCAGTTAGAGGAAGACATAGCCACAGCTAATACATTACACAAGTGACACTGCAAGGCAGAGTGTTGTGCTCATATATGAGCAACTATGGAGCATACAAGGCCTAATGGAGGAAATCCCTCATAGGATCATCATGGTGAATTCTCTTCATGCGGTAAGCCTCCATGTCTTCCGCGGTGACCTCATCATTCCATTTCACATTGTACTTCCTCTTCCTTTCATCCATCTCCTCTTTCCTCCTCGCACCCTCCTGCAAAAAAAATGGAACTCAGTGTCAGCATCTACATAAATAAATATATTGACAGAACGAAACAGATAATATAAGATGAAAGGTGCTAACCTTCTTTAGGGCTTCATCAAGCAGCTTCTTGTCAAGAACAATATCATTAGGCACATCAGTTCCCCAGGTGGCCAGTCGCTTTTCTTCATGTCGTACAGGCTCATCTGCATTGGCAATTTCAGGTTAACTGAAGTTCATCATCATGGACTAACAGTACTCACACATGGCTTAATGTAAAATAGACCACTTAAGCTAGTTTATATGGAAAGAATTTCAGCTGCACGTTTCCAATTATCCACACAAAACATCATTGAACAAGATAAGCATGAAGCAACTGACATCTGAGGCCTCCCGCTATCATAAATAAGACAACTTTGAGGGGAATACTTTTCTGAAAACACATTGATATGATAGCTATGCAACCCACGAAGACATGTTTTTATCCCACATAAACTAAACTGGCAATATGAATATTAAATCATGTGTAGTGTAAACTGACAAGACATACACAGAAAGCCAAAATATCTCTCAACAGCTTACCTTCTGCAGCTTCCTTGCGGGCCATATTTGCCTTCATCAAATCAGCCGATGCTTCAGCAGCCTCAATTCCAGCTAAGCCAGTGCAGTAGCTATTTCGGATAGTCTGCTTGCAGCATTTGTAGCCCCACTGATGATCTTTCCACCATGAGCCCCATACGGTTGTATGGTTATTAATGAAAACATCCTCTTCATATTTGCTCTTGGGAAGGGCTACATCCTGTATGAAATGAACTTTGAGAATCCATGAACTAATACATGCAAAAGACAATAGATAATGTGAACAACTGAAAAGTATTAAAGTAATGACCCAGAAATGGATAGAGCTAATAGGAAAAACTGGTATAAGAGCTCCACAAAACCTACACTCGTGTGGAGAGTTCTACATTCATGTGCTGTTCCACATTTCTTAAGTTTCTTGCAGTTGTAATGAATGGTCTCTATAACTTGCAACTGCCTAAGTGCTTAGAACAAACCTTAAGCTTCTTGTCATCTGATGCGATATGGAACTAGTTAGCTAAACAGCGTTCTCAGAAACAGATTATTATGTGTAGTTAGCTAAACAGCACATCTTATATGGTGTAGAGTTCTATAGTGACAGGTTACGGAAATAGACTATTAAAGGAAGAACTATGACAACATTACACTGGCAAAGAACAAAAAAAAAACACTTGAGATTTGAAGGATGACAGAAGATTAGGTTGAAACCACTACATCCTAGCATCCTAGGAAGAAATAACTATTGAGCAAGAAGCTATAGAAGTGTAATCGACAGTAACTAGTATTGTATACCAACCTGTCCTTTGATTATTCGACCAGTTCGGTCATATTCAATCTCTTTTTCACTTTGTCCAAGAAGAAGCTCCCGAGGGATTGGTTCTTCAGATGCAGCATTCCCATACTTCTCCATAATCTTATCTTTGTTTTCAGATTTCAATTTCTCCTTTTTGATCTTAAAACTCTTGAATAGAAGTTCAGCTTGAGATGGGGCAGCTTGCATGTGAATATCCTGTCCCTTATCAAAAGCTTCCCACGCATGTATGTTGAGTTGCTTGAACTCCAGAGCTTGTCCGCTAAGTCGATTTTGGTTATCACCCTGTGAAAAACAACACATCAGAATACTGAACCTAGTAGTCTTTGCAAGATAAGAAATCAATATGGGCCATAACACAGTGTAAAGCATTAAACTTGTAGGGTGTCTCATACTTACCACATAGAATTTATCATTGGGGTCTGCATCTGGCAATGGATCTTCACGCATGGAGCGGGTTTTTGGATCATAGTATGCAGAGTTCACATCAAGGTTCAGAAGATACTTTGCAGTGTCTTCCCTAATACGCAAATTCCTCACAGTTCCAGTGCTTCCACCACCTGTTGTACGTACACGCTTCTCTACCTTAGCAAAATCCATTTGAGCACTCTCATCAACTTTAGCCTCATCTATCTTCAAACCATCTTCTTCATCCTCCTCCTCACTAGCCACGTTCTCGTCACCCTCCTCACCATCCTTCTCCTCAAGTTTCTTGAGCTGTTGCTCTTTCAGATACTTTTTCCTAGCCTCTTCTCTAGCTTCATAATCTGCAATAACACGGGTGTACGTCGATGGGTCGTAACCGTTCCAGCGATCACGCTTTCCATCATAATCCAGTTCAAATGACTCCACTTTCTCATCTGGTGCTATATTGATGTTAGTCCATTTAGCTCCCACACTGCGAGGTCGTTCCATGCATGACTTCTTGTCATGAGTCATGGCTCCACAGCTGGAACATACAGATAATTCTCCGTTAGACAATCTGGGCTGGGAATAGAAGTAATAGAGGCCAAAAAAAACTTAAATATGGTAAGGCTATTTGGAATCAAAACAACATTCAAATATATTCTGAATAACAAGACAAATCAAATTCTACATATTGATGCATCCTGACTTAATAAATAGATTGTTAAAACTTTATGATTAAATGCTGATTAGGATTAATGGCATAATGAAATGAACACCGCACTTACTTCTCACAAGCTCCTTTCCTGTACTTGTTAGCCTGAAAAAGCTTAGCACCCCTATCGTACCATGACTTGGTGTAGTTCGGGTCCGATTTCCAATTCCGTTGATGCTTCAAACTCTGAACCCCATCAAAGCAACATGAAGTCAGAACTTCCACTAACCAAAAATCACCTGACTCGTACAGAGTAATTTTTTTTCGTTAGAGCAAGCGTCAACTTACCGGCTTATCAGCGTTAAGATACCATGGGGCTGAGGACATGTACTGGGGGATATGGGGATTGATCTCCTTTCCATCCTCGTCGACCTCGGCGGGCGCGAGCCCAGCCTTCCTCGCCTCCTCGAGCTCGAGCTGCTTCCGGTGATCCTCTCTAGACTTAAACGACACTGCAGCAACGGAGAAATCACCGTAATAAGAGAATCATCCGCGGAAATCTCCCCGCATCAACCAATCGCAACAGCCTCGATCCCCAATTCAGGCAACGCAGAGACCGTACGGATCCCCGCGAAACCCTATTTCCCGTCGAATCGAAGCGGAATCACCCGTTTATCAACGCCCCTAGATCCAAAACCAGCGAAATCTACACCAAATCCACGCGGTTTTTGCGCAGGATCGAGCTAGGGTTACGGAAACCGGTAAAAGGACGCTAGCAAAAAACTTACCCGAAGCGGTCGCCATGGCGCTGCTCTTCGCCTAGGCCCGCTTCTCCGGCAGGAGAGGAGTGGACCTCGGGGGAGCGCGACGCGGCGGCGAAAAGTCGGCGAACTGCGGCGAGGTGGGGATCGCTCGCGAGGAGGACGAAACGGATTGGGGGAGAGATTTCCCCACGCGTGCTGGGCCCCCTACTACGTATACCCCCTCGGCGGCGGCTACCGCCATTAACATGGGCCGAAAGCCCAGTAGGCCCATTATGATGTTGGGCCTAACTCGTTCGGGTCCATGAGGGGTCGCGTGGGGCCCAACCCCACCACCTTCCGCGAGACCTCCCAGAGAGATAGACCTTGCGCTTTGCTCTCCCATGGCGTCGCGTCCGAGGCTTTGAACCCTAGCGCACCAATGGCGACGGCGACGGCGACGGCGGCTGCGGCCGCCCCGGCGGCGGTGCCCGCGCTGGTGTCCCCCTTGTCCCGCCGCGCCTTCTTCCCGCTCCCTCGTCGCGCCGGCCCCAAATCGCTTCGGTAAATTCACCTTGCCGCTTTTCGGACCGGGGTTGTTTTGGTTTGTGGATAAGTTTGAGATTTTTTTTTTTTTGGCATGGAATGAAGGGTCTTCGCGTCGGCGGCGAGGCGACGTGGGTTGGTCGTGGTGGCGGCGGATGCGGCAGCGGCGGCAGGTGGCGCGGAGTTCAGCGACGAGGAGAACCCCTACGAGGTGGAAGCTGAAATGAGCAGTTTCCCCTAAACTTTTATTCGCTCGGTGGACTTGTGTTTTGATTTTTTGCGCTGTTGGATTGTTAGATTCTGGGTATTACCCCGCTTGATAGCTTCGACCACATGAAGCTGGCCTACAAGAGGAAGCACAAGGAAGCGGACGAGAATGGAGATCAGTACTACCTGTCAAAGGTTCTGTATTGTGCAGAGATTGTATTTTTGGGCTTGCAATGTTACTGTTATTTTGTTGCTCGGCGCTGATGATATACTTCTTGTGGTTTCAGTTGGAGAAGGCATACGACACTGTGATGATGCAGCAGCTGCAGTATAGGAAGAAAGGAGTAACATATGGTTCTGTTCAGGTCAGATTTCTATAAATGCAGAGGCACCCAAAACTGCAAGATTTTAGAGTGCTTTCCTACATATCCTATTTGCAAAAGAAACAAGTTTTGTGAGTATTCGGTTTACTAGTGCTTATCACAGGATTATAACACATAAGATGGAGGCAAGTAACTAAACACTAAAACACATGCTATGAATGGCACCATCTCGCACTGGTGTTTATGAAAATTAGGGGACCAGTTACCACTGCATTGAAAATATATAAAGAACTTTGGAAATGGATAGAGGATCAAACAAGGCAACAGTTGTTATTATATCCAGACATAAGTCACCTACTACAGTTAGTTTATCCACAAACATTTTTTGTTCTATTGATAAACTAGTAGCTCAAAAGTCGTCTACATCATTTCCTACAATTACAATTATATTATCCAGTTATGATTTTATTCACCGGTGCCCTGGTTTTTGTTTCCACTGTCAGGTGTCGAAGGATATCAAGTATGCTGATGACCAGCCAATTGTTCCTTGGGGACCTAGGTACCTTTTTAATCAAGTTTATTATTAGAATACTATATTTCATTAGTCCATCGATAATCTCTTTGGGTGTATGTCAATGATTGATGTGATGCATGTTTATGGAAAATAACAAGCTTCTATCTTTCATATAAACACAGCCATGAAGATTTGGTAGAGATCATAAGAAATTTGAATTGCCCTGTTTCTCTTGCGAAGTGGATGAGGCCGCTGAAAGGCAGGCCTGTCCTACAAGCTTTGCCCTATTCAGTTTTGCTTTCCTCAGCTGGTGTTTTGTTTTCATTTCCATCTTATAGGACAAGCATTGTACATGAGCAGTGAAATTTCCAGGCCCCCATCGGATGGCCTATTCAGCCAAAGAAAAAGCCAAAATTTAAATTTTCAAACTTAATTTTGACATTGATTTTGAGATATTTTCAACGTAGTTTCTTTTTCAGCATTGGCTTTTAAGTCACCGAGAACACATATATAAAAGTTTTACCTACAAATTCATTTTTATTCTCTAATAAGCCGTTTTGGCTTATTACGAAAAAAAGCCAAACGATGAGGCCCCCAATGTTCTAGTTCTGCATGGACAGCGAAATTGTTGAGAAGGATATGCACATAGAATGCTTGTTATTTAAATTAAACAGAAACATCCATTTGAATCCAATAACTAGTGGTTGATATATTCTTCTTGCAGATCCTCCAAATCAACAGTAAAGGACATGCGCATCAATTTAGGAATATCAGCAGCCATTGTATGCAGCTCTTCTCTTAATATTTAGCACATGCCTATATCAACTAGTGATATAATTCTGACCTTTTTTTTCCTTTTTTGCAATTTTGTGGCACTGTCTTCCATATCTGCAAGGGCTCTATATCATAATTGTTATAACAAAATCTATCTATTTTTAAAGATATTGATTCTTTGGGGTTTACTTATAAGTTGGGAGCATGCTTCTGTGTGGTATAATGTTCTTGTAATATGTTAGTTTGAATGCATGCACTATTATATAGTTCTATCGTTGTGCTCCAGTCCAAAATAGATGCTGTCATGCTGCTTTAGCCTAAACAAGTTTTTGTTCAGATACTTCTTGTTTTGATTTATCTAGGTAATGTTTCTGCTTGAATGCCCTTATTAAGAGCCCAAAGGTATATAAGTCCTATTGGATTATCTATAACCACGCGGCTAGGTTACTTTTGTTTAAAACCTTCATATGTTTCCGAGGTCAATTAATAAGAGTAAACATGTTGTTTCTTTTTGTAAAGCTAGAATTGGCACTATTTAGACAATGCGAGTAACACTCCTATGTTTTTGTTCTAGACAATAATGCTTTGAGGATACCTCTATCTCAATGGTTACGATTTTCTTGCAAAAGATTTTTATTTGTACTACCCTGCAGGTTGTTTGGATAGCTATCATGGGCAATGCGGACTGGAAGCCATTGCAGTTCCTATGTTTTGCTTTCTTCTACAGAATACTTCAAAAGCTAAGGGCTACTGAACCACCAATAACGCCAATATATAATGTGAGAAAATATTTCTTAGTCACCTCTATTTACCTTTTTATGAATCATGATACTGTAATTTGCACATTTTACTGTGGAGTGCCATGCTGTTGTTTGCTACTTCCATAATTATCAGTTTTTTTTGTCAAATATAATTAATGTATTTTTACTGAACCTGTTTCATCATTTGACTTCGCTTCCATTACCTGATTCTGTTGTAAACTGAAAGGCAATTAAACAAAAGAAGATGCGCAGAATTCCGTCCCCCAAAAGCTTTTGTAACTTTTCAAATGGGGGTGGTTCTTACTGATGATGGGTACCATCATGAATTTATTTTATATTAATCTTATGACCGTTATTTGAAATGATTAGACAATGGTCATATGATCGCATCCTGGTGTTTTCTGCAGGAGTATGGTGAGGTTGAAGGACGTGGAATACGAATGGCAAAACGAGTAGTCCGTGCTTTGGGTTTGATATTTGGATGTGTATTTGCCGCGTCATTGGTAAGCAATGCTGGAATTTTCTTGATCTGCTGCTGCCATGTTATCTACCTATCATAATATTTATCAGTTGCCTTTTGGTTTGGTTTTCTTTGTATGAATCTTTCCAGGGTTATACAGCAGCTGTTAACGTGATTGAGTTTTCATGGCAGTATACTCCACGCATTGTTTATTACTATCAGGTACAAAAGAATATGCACTTTCTTTTTATCAAATGCAAAGATTTGTAGATCTATCAACTCTGTTCAGAACCATTGCCTACTATTATATATAAAAAAGGGAAAAACTAACTACCTGGTGATTTCTTCCAGGAGTTGATTGTTACAGCAGCTACCGCTGCTCTGCTGTACATCACAGCCTCATACTACCGGTAAACAGACAGTGGAATTACAGTCTGGCTAAGAGAACCATGAGATGTTAGGATATGAGCTGAGATTCGGTGAGTGGCACACTTGTGGACTGGTGTTACCTCAGGCATTAATGGAGAGTCAAGAGTTCACAAATTTTGAAGTATAATTGGGCCGGCTTTTGAGTTAGATACTGTTGAATATGCGCTTGTATTGCACAGTTGTGAACCTCCTCACTGGGCGTAAGGCGTCGGCTGATGAAAAAAAAATAGTGTGCATATTTTAACAGAAATGTAATGTATGAGATTATATCAGATTCTGGTATTTTCCTTCCCTTTTTTTTTCCTTTTGAGGGTGAGAGATTCTGATTCTTGTTAAAAACTTGACGAGTAGCCCAACAAAATAACTTGACAAGTACTTTCAGGCTTCAGCGGTATGCTAAGCGTTAAGTTTTGCGCTTATCACACTTCTATGTTAGCTGCATCTGTGATTACCATGTGCCAGAAGCAAAATTCTTTCCATACAAGTACTATTAACTTTCTAAGAAAAATAATTTGATATTATCGAATACCATGTCATTTAGACAAACTTGTAGCATATAGAGATGGCAGCCCCATTGTTTGGCTGTTTGGTGGAATAAGCCAAACGGTATATTCGCAAACGAAAAGTAATTTGTGAAAGGCTAAAAAATAAATTTCGATAAAAAAAACCCTAAAATCAGCTCTAAATTTAAGAGTGAAAATTTAAATTTTGGTTGATAAGCATAAGCATTAGTAAAAAGATGAGGCCGTCTATATTGTCACTGTTCACCGGATCTTATCATTCCTTTCTTTCTTGTATACGCACGAAAGCTGCGTATCATTCCATTAAGAGAGAAGAAAAGGAAAAAAAAATCACGGCAAGGGGAGCTGAAACGCCACCACTCATATCAAACACAATAACACATACAAGCTTTCACCGAGTCTAGGGACTAACCTATCTAACGATTCAATTGGTTTCCACCATTGTCAGTTAAATTACGGAAATTTAGTTAGCAGAATATTAGTGCCTAATGGCTGACAGTACTGACCAGTGACCAAAGATCACCTGGTAATGGTCGATCACCATCAAATTTCACCTCAAGTAGGAGCACTTGTGATTTTGTGAATACAAATAAGCTGATTATTTCTTAGCTACAAAAGAATGACATGAGTTTTCTTTCTCACATGAGATTGGCTTACGAATTCCACAAAAGAAAAAAAAAACTTTACATACTCCTGTACGCGACCCGAAAACGCATAACCGATTTGGATTCTAACACTTCAACAAATTTGGCGTGAAGCTACAAATATCGCCAATCCGGCAGTCAGGGCAATGAACCAGTGTTACCAAGCCCAGCTATCATGCCTGTAAATGTGGCCACTGCAAATCCAAGCACCCCACCAGCAAAAACCTGAGAAATGCATCTTGAAATCATTAATGTGTTTCACATATGTGCTAGAAATCAGAATATCATCTTATGCAATAACATGCACAATTGACTTTCTAAATTGCTAACATATACATTCAAGCAACAGATCAAACCTGAGCTGGTGTGTGTCCAAGGAGTTCTCGGAGTGGTCTTGTTTCAGCCAGTGGATGCTCCGATGGGAGTTCATACACAATTTGATTCAAGACCTAACATGTTAAAGTAGTTAGAACTGGAATGCAATTTAAGCATCCATAGAATTAAAGAAATTATGGAGATATCCAACAGAAAAATCGACAACATCCTTCTCAACATATGATAAATACTAGGAATAACATGGGCTATTAATTCAGACTATCACAAACATAAGCATGTGCATATTTCAAATAGAACCACACCCTTCCTTCTCTCTCCAGCAAATGACTCGTGTCCTTTTGCTTTTAATTAAATGGTAATAGAAACGTGAAATATTCAGGTCATACCTCTGCTTGCTTCCCTGCATGTAGCCTGACACCAAAAGCATCATACATAACCTGCAAGTAATTGCCGAAAAGTTAGCAGCTTCCACCAAGTGAAAAGAACAATATAATCCATGATGAAAATGCAGCATACTGCATTTCTGAAGCAGATGACTGTAAAAATCCATAAGAATCACAATCAATTATGTGAGGATGCTACATTGCCAGGTGCGGGACAGGTAGGGTGAGAGCTAAATCACAGGACACTTGCAATCTTTAAGGAAGAGGCTAGCTGTCAGCTGTTTGTATTATTGCGATGTCCTCGACTGATTTTTGTAGTGCCAATATAAGTAGAACAATCATAGTGCTAACATGCTATTGTCCTTCCTTCCACTAGTTTAATCAACTAAACAAAGAAGGCCTGATCAATTATAATCTCAGGATACATCTTCTCTTCCATATTGCAATAAAGCGAGAAAAAAAAATGCAACCTTGCTGCCATGATTATCAGAGAAAATTGATTGAACCAGTTGAATCGGATCAAGATTTAAAATGGATTGAACCAGTTAAGAGAACTGTAGAAAGAACATAGTAAATTTACTCGTTCCCGACCAATCAACTACTAGTAATATTCCAAAAACCAGTGATCAGATCCACACCCCATTAACAAAAGCCTGAACATTCGGATGAAGAACTAACCACGGACGCGAAGATGGCGGCGGTGGCGAAGAGCGAGCTGCCGAACCCTTCCTGGAGGCCGACGGCGACGGCGAGCGCGACGACGGTGGCCGAGTGCGACGACGGCATCCCGCCGGACCCCACCAGCTGCTTCGCGTCCCACCGATTCTCCTTGTACCTACACCACCCCCCACCCACGCCAAGGTCAGGTCAGGTCAGATCCCGCCACGGGGGGAGCTCGGATCCAGGTCAGTGTGACGTACCATGTGGTCAACACCTTGATGAACTGCGCGATGGCGCCGGCGAGGACGGCGGCGACGAGCGGGCAGTTGCCGAGCGCGGCGAGGTAGGAGAACGACGGCGCGTCACCCTCACCCGCTCCCACCGGCGGCGCCAGCACGGAGGCGGAGGCGGAGGCGTTGTCCCCCATTGGATGGAGCGGGCGGGTTCTAGAAGCTTCTGGAAGATCTGGCGCCCGGCGCGGTGCGGGGAGGGGAGGCGAGCGGCGGCCACTCGTCGGCGTCGTCTGCCGCGTGTGCAGGTGGAGGTGAGGGTTCGTGGGTGTGGCCGCGCGGAAGGTGGAGGCGAGGGCCGAGGGGAAGAGGAATTGGTCGGGTCCGAGCTGGCATGTGGGCCCGGCTAGTTGCTGACACTTTGTGGCTGGCATTTTCTTCTACTCTCAAGTCTGAACAGCTGCGTTTGAGAGCTGAACATGGTGGTTTTAGTTCGCGAAAAAAAAATTTAGGTGTTAAATCAGATGTTGATCGGATATCGGAAGAGGTTTTTGGATACGAATGAAAAAACTAATTTCATAACTCGTCTGGAAACCGCGAGACGAATCTTTTGAGCCTAATTAAGCCGTCATTAGTATATATGAGTTACTGTAGCACTTATGGCTAATCATGGACTAATGAGGATAAAAAGATTCGCCTCGTGATTTCCATGCAAACTGTCCAATTAGTTTTTGTTTTTATTTGATGTGATGTTTTTTTTGGGAAAAATGGGAACTAAACTAGGCCTCTGTATTTGGCTGCCTTTAAGAGTTGAAAGAAGAGTATATTTTCACGCACATATTTCCCGAAATGTTAAACGGCGCATTTTTTTATGAAACATTTTATAGAAAAATTGCTTTAAAAGAAAAATTAATACACTTTTTAAGTTTATTTTTTTTTGAGAAACACGATACAAACGCATGCGTCCACAATACACACCCACTCACCTGTACGGACATCTTCGAAGGACTAGGCCCACGGATGTCTCACTGTTGACGGGTACGTCATCTACCACTGAAAAAATAATTAGCTATAAATGCGAGCACCCGAGTCAAATCTACGGTTGGATTTGAACCTGGATGGACTGGTTTCACCACAAGAAACCTAACCAGTTGAGTTAGTTCACTTCGCAAGTTTAAAATAATTAATTATGCACTAATAGCTTACCTTGTTTTTTATATCTTCTTTATTCCTCTCTTTTCAAACACAGAAAGCTAACCAGATGAGTTAGCTCACTTCGCAAGTTTAAAATAATTAGTACTTAATTAATTACACAGTAATCTAGCTTACCTTGTTTTGTGTATCTTCTCTATTCCTCTCTTTTCAAACACAGCCAATCTTTGCAGTTACAAGGATACCTGATAGATATATGGTGGCATTTGAATTTGATGAAGAGGAAATACTAAGTTGGTGTATGTAAAACGAGAAAGTCATTAGCACATAATAATTAAGTTTAATTATTATAAACTTGGCAAATGGATATATATTTGATATTTTAAAGCAACTTGTATATAAAAGTTTTCGTATGGAACATACCTTTTAAGTAGTTTGAAAAGCGGGCTAAGTAAATAGAGGTAATTAAATCTGAATCTCAATCATAAAAAAACAGGGTAGTAGGTTGAAAAGCGTGCTAACACGGAACTAGTCTCTTTTTCTTTTTTGAAATGTTAAAAATTTCTCAATGAGTTGAAACTGATTACTGAAAAAATAATATGGAAGAAACTCATGTATTTCTCTACCTCTTTTTTTACACGGTATTTCTCCATCTCTAACGCTTTAACAACGCAGTTCCGTCCATATGTCCTCCCGCTCCTACTGAAGCATTCCAGTTCTTTGAAAGAACCATAGGCATGAGGAAACAAAAAAAAATAAACCGGCTTCAGAAAAAAAAATTCGTTTTGCTAACCCATGAGATCATTATGATTCTCCATATGAGAAAACAAGAAAAACACATATGAGAAAACTAGTTCCGGATCAATTTTGGTTACAATGCGCGAGCAATTATCATATCATTAGAAGAACATCTATATATACATGTTGTTCTAGAATTTTCTGTGACATTTGATACCTATTGTGCATCGGAATTTTATGTGTATAGGACATATTTCATACTATGAAATGTTAAACCCGTATACTTGCATGAGCATTTGGTAATGGAGAAACTATAATCACATGAGATATGTGCATTAGTAGACCCAACACTAAAATTTAGTCCGAAAAAGTGCAATGTACTTTTTATTAATGAAATAAAATTTATTATACATGAACTGTATTACAATTATACTTATCAGAATGAATGGTCCTAACTGCAATGCAATATCAACAATTATAATCCTAATTTTCCATGTAATTATATAATTTTACAATTGAAATAATCTTCACAGAATGTGTTCCCTATTTCACAGATGTCGTGCTTGATCATACCCCTTTCCCTTTGTTGCTGTCATTGTAATTGCATTTTGCTTAGGCGGCCAGGACAATCAACAGTTAGGCGTTGCATTTTTCTTAGGCCGTCGAGACAATCAACAATTAGGCATTGCATTTTGCTCAGGCAGTCAGGACAATCAACAATTGGTCTGAAGAAATAAAGTACTAGTTAAACTAGTGGTCATTAGTTAACATCACAAACTTATATTTAGTATTTGCTCTTTTAGTGACCAATATTTTGTTGTTAGGCACTTAGGATCTTTGATTCATTTATGTAGAATCTTTGTTCATTTATGTAGACAAGTTTCAACGAAGCCTTTACTCTCTCCCTTATAGTATCAAACAATTAAACTTCTACCAAACCAAATGGCCAATTAATCACTTGGGCTCACTCCTCGCCCTACGAGTCTCGATTGATTGCGTCCATGACCCAATCAAGTCGGACAAATAACTAATAACAGGGGTAGCGAGATGTGCCTTGCGTCCTTAAGCCAATTGTTGCCATCATCAAGTTGTGGGGGCAAAACCATGGCTTCTTCATTTTCTCGGGAGATTAGGGGTAAAGAAGAAGAGGGAATTATAGCTTCTAAGTTGCTTTTCCGGTCATGTCATACGCCAATGTCATGGCATACCATAGGAGTAAGTATACCTTCGGATATGTGCAAACCTACTTTCAATGAATACATTTTAATGATGCACTAAAATCAATAAAACTCTCAATAAATAAATTATTCATATATACCTCCGGATATATGAAGCTTTTAAAGGTTCTTTTTCCACTAACTAACATCGGACCACTAATTGTTATCCACTTAAAACATGCATTCAGGGCAGGTTTGTTTTGAGGCTTAAATTTGGCTTATTAATATTTGTGAATTTCAATAGTGTTTAGTGTCTATTTGGTTTGAAGCCAAATTTTGATATGCCTAAGAAAATAGGCCATTTCAATAGTTAACTTATGCTATTTTGGCTTCAATCCAAATACAACTTTGCCTTCCCAAAATTAATCATGCCAAAACTTACCAAAATTTGGTATTGTCAAAAAATTAGTAAGGCCAATTTAGGGGCCTGTTCACTTTGATGCTATTTTCAACCTTACCAAATTTTAATAAAGTTGCAAAAAAAGTGACTACATTTAATTTACTGCCAAATTTTGGTAACTATATAAGAAATTCTGCCAAAATAGCATCAAAGTGAATATACCCTAGGTCACAAACCAAACCAGCCCTCAACCTTTTATCATCAAAACCTTGCGGATTAGCATTAGCTTATCCCTGGAGGCCTTTTTTTAATCAGAAAAAAATCTCATCGCAGAAGTTTTTTTTTTTGGGCAATAGGTGCTTCTAACAAATGGTAAAAGCCCTAGCTAGCCCCGAGGACACGCAACCGCCCTTACCACCGTCCACCCGAAAAATCCAACGGCCAGGATGTCCCCCTTCGCAACAAGCCGCGCAGCCCCCGTCCTAGTCACTGCCACGTGGGTCCCACAGCTCAGCGACCGAGCAGACACCTAAAACCGCCGCTTACAAATGGGCCCCCACCCTTGGCGATTCGAGCCCCCAAAGCTCGCGAGGTCGAGGAGCTGAAGCGAGAAGAGAGAGAAAGAAAGAGAGAGATAGCCGAGCGCGGAGACAGAGGAGAGAGAAAGAGAGAGAGAGAGAGAGGAGAAGCCGTAAGCCTAGCCGCCTCCTCCTCCTCCTCTCTCGCCGCCCTACGCCTCCCCCCGCTCGAGGAGGGGGAGAGCTCTAGGGTTTCGCGGGCGGCGCCGGCGCCCGGGGGGGTGCGCGTGGGAAGGCCTCGAGATCTCGCGGCGGCGCCGCCGGGTGTGGGGGTGTGGGGGCGGCGGCGGCGGCGGAGGCGGAGGCGGTCGGTGAGTTCGTTCGTTCGCTCGCTCGCTCGCTCGATCTCTCGCCGCGGGTGGTGGTGCCAATCGAGCTGCTTCGCCCCCCGGATTCGAGGGTTTTGTAAGGGGCCGCCCCTCATCCGTGGCGGCCGTGGAATAATAAGCTGGGCCTCCTCCCCCTCCTTGAGGGGTTAGGGTTAGGTTTTTGAGGAATTGCGGGTGGATTTTCTTTGGTCCGGCCTGACGCGTGAGGGGGGTTTGCGCGCAATGATGGGGAAGACGCAGAAGTTCTCCAAGGGGCACCCGCTCGGCTTCGTGCCGGATTACCGGCACGGCGTGGAGACGGTGGGGGAGTCGAAGGGCTGTATCGGGAGCCCGGAGCGGATCGTATCGGGGAGCTCGTGTGCTGTGCCGAAGAGGAAATGCGGAATCCTGAAGACAGAGGATGGAGGGGAGCTTCCGGGGTTCAATGTGCCGCGGGACGTCTTCATGCTGCCGAGGATGTCGCCTTCGGATAAAAAGGACCTCGAGATGAGGCTCCGCAAGGAGCTTGAGCAGGTTAAGGCCCTACAGAGTAGGCTGTTTTTGAGGCCGGCTGCGGTGAGCATGAATGGCGGGGCGGCGTCAGCTTCTGGAGACGTAGTTGCAAAGAGAAACGATGCGAAGCTTAAACGGAGCAATTCAGTGCAGTCTGGCAGAGGAGTGCCACCATCAGCAGCCACACCTGTGGTCAGGTCTGCAAACTACGCAGAAGCTTTTAAACAATGTGGCAACCTTCTGAAGAACCTCTTCAAGCATCAGTGGGCTGGTCCGTTCCTTGCGCCGGTTGATGTTGTACAGTTGAACATTCCTGATTATTTTGACATAATCAAGAAGCCAATGGATTTGGGTACCATCGAGAAAAAGTTGAATGCAGGCATGTACTCTACACCTTGGGATTTTGCTGCAGATGTGAGGCTTACTTTTGACAATGCCGTGACTTATAACCCAGTCGGTAATGACGTGAATTTAATGGGCAAAACTTTGAAATGTATTTTTGAAACTAGATGGAAGTTTATCGAAAAGAAGCTTCCTTCACTAGATGATAAATTCTCTGTGAGAAGAGAGCCATCACAAAAGGGTGCAGTTAAGAAAGATACCATTGAGAAAGATTACCCTTCTGAGAAAAAGCACTCGACAAAAGGTGTACACAAGAAAGATATGTTTAAAAAAGAGGATGCTTCAACTAAGCCAGCTTTGCAACCAAAGAAGAGAAAAGCTTCTCCCTTGGTTCAGGGTTCTCTTGAAATACCTGTAGTAGAAGCTGATAAGGTCATTGATGATGCTCAAGTGGTACAGCCTTCTAAGGTGATTGATGATGCCCAAGTGGTGCAGGCTTTTAAGGTGATTGATGATGCTCAAGTGGTACAGGCTTCTAAGGAGATTATGACGGACAGACAAAAGTATGAGCTAAGCGTAAGACTTCAATCATATGGTGGGTTGATTCCAAATCATGTAGTTGATTTCATAAGGAGCCACCTTCCTGATGATAATGAGGGTGATGAAGATGAGTTAGAGCTTGACATGAATGTCCTAAGTGATAGTACATTGTTTGAACTTCAGAAGCTTCTTGATGACTATGATAGGGTAAATCAGTCAGGAAACCCTACAAAAGATGAGCATCGTGAGGTTGAGGTGGGTGCTGTTGTATTATAGTTATCTTTTTCATCGGTTAATTAGCTGATTACTGTTTTCCAATCTGTTTGGCAGTTTGAAAGTGAATATGGGCTTAGCAACTCATCGATGCATCATGAAGAAGGTGTACATCTCATTCTTTGATTCTTTATGATAATTATTGCTTTTGTGGTTTTGAACTTTTATATGCATGTTTGTAGGTAATGAGCTCGTTGAAGAAGATGTTGATATTGGTGGGAATGATCTTCCACCTTTGACGTATCCTCCTGCAGTATTTGAAAGTGAAACTGCAGAAAGAAGCAGCAAGCATAGCACTTCTAGCAGTTCTAGTAGTGATTCAGAATCATCCTCCAGTGGTATGTTGTTTATGCAATCTATTATTGTTTTACAGTCGCTAACTTTCTGTCTTCACTTCTCTTCTGATGCTGAGTTCAGTAACATGTTTTCAACAGCCTGGGCTTTATAACCTTCTTAAATTCTATGCCATGTTGCGTGATACAAATTGATGGCCTTGTTGATACTGTCATCCTTATTCTGTGATGCTGTTTTAGTACTTGGTCTGTACATGTATATAGTTTACAAAGTAGATAGAAGTTCAAAGTCTTAACTTTGAGATCTTATTGATATGTCTGGACTGTTTGATTCTTGTTTAGTTCAGACTCATCCCGATGTTTAATATGCCGAGTGTTATTTATTGCAATCCTGTATTAGCTATTGGACTGCACCAAAAAGAACCTAAATTCTCATGCGTATGTGCTGCAAAAGTGGACAAACAAGTCAGCTGAACATTCATGTCAGTGGGCAAGTATTGCAATTTTTATTTGGCAATTGACATTGACTCTTTTGACTGTTTCCTTTAGGTGCAAGTTGGTAATCATCCTTATACAGTATTTAGATTTTTTGAAATTCTGTGTTTCTTTTATAATTTATTTCGCAACTCTATCTCTCAGATTAATATGGTATGTTCATGATCTTTGCTCTATGAGAGTCCTTCAATTCATGTTTCTTTTTGTTCACATCGATGATCACATACCTTGAACATATATTTGCTTGAATCTAGACCATAAGGCCTGGTTATTTCCTCCTTGTTTCCCCTTCTGTTTGCCTGTGCAATTTTGTAAATGCTATCAAACCACACCATTGTGTAAATCATGTTAGTCTTGAACAAGTGATTCTACTCCCTCTGATCTCAAATATAAGTCGTTTTAGCCTTCTCAACTCTTTACTAAATATAAGTCATTTTAGAATTTCTAGATAACTTTCGACTACTTTTCCTTGTTTTCCCTTGGTAAATAAATGATATCTCCCTAACAAAATAAAGCGATTCATCTTTCCCAATGCAATATAAATGGAGAGCAACAACGTCATTTGATTGTTTTCTTAATTCTTGTGCCCATGTCTAAAACATCCATATAGTACAGTTCCCGTGCGTGCAGCTATTCTGAAGTTAAAAAAAAATACAAATATAACTATCCAAAACTTAATAGATTGCACACGTAATATTCAATTAACCGGCTGTCAATATATACACATTTCAATCAATTGAACCCTTATTGTTTCCCCCTTGAAGGGAAATTGTATTTTATTTTATAGTTTCTTGTATATCCTGTCTGTCCTGATGAAATGTATATATAACACTTCATTTTTTGTTCCATTTAAATAGCTAATCTAAATAGTCATTCTTTACCGGACCAACAGATTTATTGATGTCTTTATGACTGATTATTCTGGTGCAAGTTTACTGAATTCAGCTCTGAACCATCAAAATACAAAACTTCGATTAAAATCATATATTATATATATGGAGGTGCCTAAGCGTCCTCTTGTTATGATTCTCCCTCTAGTTACAATATTGATTGTTTGGACATTGACATGGCCTATAAAATGCAACTTCGTCCAGTAGCATCTGTTGGTCAAATCCTAGGATACCATGGTATTACGGAAACACATTTTAAGACAAATCTACGTATATCATCTTTTATAATCCCAGTATATAAATGTCCATATAAATACCGATAGTTGAAAATGTTTGACTGCATGCAATACTAAAAAGACACATGCCTATGATCCCTTGCCCCTTGGCGCATGAGTCATGACATCATTCTTTTTCTCTCTCTTTTCATTTTCCTACCCTGTTTAGACTTTCATGTCCAATGCGTTTATGTTTTCCTTTTCCTTCTTTACCTCTTCAGATTCAGATTCAAGTAGCTCTTCTGGAAGCGATCTGGATGTCAATGTTCCTCCATCAACAAGTGGGGCCAAGGTGCTTATCTCAAAAATCTTGGGGACAGTGAATGTCTTAGAATTTTGGGACATGAGTTGAATTTCTCAATGGTTCCTCTCTTTTTCACATGCAGGACAACACGCAATCTGCGGTTAGGTTGGATCAGGAAAACGGTATGGTGCTTACCCTAGTATTCCCCCCGTCCCAAAATATAATTACCTTTAGCTATGTAGCTAAAGGGGCTATATTTTGGGACTTGAGGGAGTATTTTGGAGCCGAACGCATACACTTGATACAGTTGCACAGTCCATCCTTTAAAAATTAACACCAATAACCTATTTATGTTATTTTGGGCTGAACAGGCAAACGAACCGTTATTTTCTACTATCTCAAGTGATCCTAAGTGCTACATCACTATGCATTTATACTGGATCCATGCTGACCAATAAAATTTGTTGAGACAACATGTCTGTCTTTAGCCAATTTATTCAGACTTGTTTTAACACACCAAATATCAAACTGATGTGGTCAGCTTACATGCTGGGTCCATTATTGTGACCCAAACAAGTCTAACTCCTAAATTCATTTTAACCATCACATGTCAAACAATTAGAAGTAGTAGTTGATAGACTGCATTTCATGTGTTCTATTGTTGGGTGTAGTCGGGTTGGACAGTAATTTAATCTATTTATGTTATTTTGGGCTGAACAGGCAAACGAACCATTATTTTCTACTATCTCAAGTGATCCTAAGTGCTACATCACTATGCATTTATACTGGATCCATGCTGGCCAATAAAATTTGTTGAGAAAACATGTCTGTCTTTAGCCAATTTATTCAGACTTGTTTTAACACACCAAATATCAAACTGATGTGGCCAGCTTACATGCTGGGTACATTATTGTGACCCAAACAAGTCTAACTCCTAAATTCATTTTAACTATCACATGTCAAACAATTAGAAGTAGTAGTTGATATAGACTGCATTTCATGTGTTCTAATGTTGGGTGTAGTCGGGTAGGACAGTAATTTAACCTTTCTTATCCCACCAAATATCACACTTTCTGGGAAATGATTTATCCAGATATCATTACACAGGCTGATCGTTGGATGTATGTGTTACCTTTGGTCAATTCATTTAAATATCTTTTGTAAACCATTTGCACTTTGATGTAACTGTCATAGATATTGGAGCATTTATAGGAACAGCGTGAGATTCAGCAGGCCCCATGTCTGCTTAACTTTTTATGCATAGTTTTCTTTGAACTTCTGCAATTCTAGAATAGCTATTTGTGTCTTGTGTACTTCAACGTCTTCCTCTTATGATTACAGATCCACTGAGCTCGACCAATCTACCACAACAAAGTAGTGATCCTGTACCTATTTCTGCCGAAGATGAGGGTAAGCATGGAATTTCTTAATGGTCTCATTAAATACCCAAAGCCTTATATATATATTCATCTAAATATTTCAGGGGAGAATGTGTCTGAGAAACAGGTCCCCCCTGCAAAGCAATACCGAGCTGCTGTTTTGTTAAACCGCTTTGCTGATACAATTTTTAAGGCTCGTGAGAAAACTCTTGATCAGGTATGCATTGGAAACTTTTGATTGAGAGCACTGTTGCCTGGGCAGCTGATGACATTGTTAGTAATCTTCACATGATATTATTAATATCAGGTCGCGAAAAAGGATCCTGAGAAACTTCAACACGACATGGAGGAGCTTGAAAGGTTACGAAGAGAAGGTGAGAAGGAATTGATAACTTTTTGGCTGATAAGCCAAGTACACTTCTGTGTATTGAGGCGCGGTCTTCCTTACAGAGAGAGCTCGGATACAAGCTGAGGCAAAAGCAGCTGAAGATGCTCGCAAGAGAGCTGAGGCAGCAGCAGCTGCTGAGGCTGCTGCAGAAGCTAAACGCCAAAGAGAACGTGAGAGGGAAGCGGCTCGTAAAGCCTTGCAACAGGTAAATCATGGATGAGATTCTGGCCAGAAGCACTATACTCTGTTAACGTACATACTTAGTGTGAATGCTATTGACCCTGCAGATGGAGAAAACTGTAGACATCAATGAAGGGAACCTCTTTTTGAAAGATCTTGAAATGCTTGGAACTGTTACATCAGGTGAACAGTTTCCCAGCTCGGTTGGTGAGACGAGTCCAACTCATACGCCTGAAGGCCTTGGATTTCAGCTAGGTAGCAACCCTTTAGAACAGCTTGGTTTGTATATGAAAAATGATGATGAAGAGGATGAGGAAGGTGAGTCTGCAGATGAACCAACGATTGATGTTGAGGAGGGCGAAATAGATTGACATCTTATAGACCATTTTTGGATACATAAGGAGGTCAAGCATGACTGGGGCGGATGCTTCTAACGTTTCCTGTCTGCACAGAAATTTGTGAACTGCACTAATTTTGGGAGCCAAATGATAGGTTGGCAAATGTGTGTGGGAAACTAGTCCATCATGCGTTTCACTATCAAATGAAGTGAAAGCTTTCTTGGAATGAGTTTATGGCCAGCCATGAAGTGATGGTCGTCCGCAAGTGCTTTTCTCGATCAAAATAATGGGTTGTTTTGAGGGCGATGGTCTTTTTGATGAGAGAGAGGGAGAGGGGGTGGAGGTTCCATGGCTTCAACACCTTATGTGTGAGCCATTTTTGAGATAGTCTTTTAGTGGCATTTGCTGTTGTGAATGTAATCTTGGAAACTGTACAAAAAGGATGACTGATAGATGGAAAACATTGTCCTGAGCTATCTTGTGCCCATTCTTTGAGAACTTGAATGATTAGTCTGTCTGAACATTGAGGCGTCTGGTAAGAGTGCCCATTATGCATGCACTAGCTTTTATTCATCCGGATGTATGTGCCATCCTACTACTGCCCAAGAGCTTACCCTTGTGTTACTGTGGAAATCAACCTTTTTCTTTTTTTGGATTAGGTTAGAAATATATTTGGAAGGTCTTGTTGGCAGTCAGTGATGTGAGTGGCTAGTTTCTGAGAAACTTTCGGGGTTCAATGTTTGAGAATGGTACGCATTCTCTTCATCCAAATGTTGGTTGGATCCATGTAGAACTTTCAATTTATTTTGTATTACAAACTTAAAACCAAAGGCCCATTCAGCTTTTTTTTAAAAAAACCCAAATTTCATGATAACTAGTTCAACTGTTGGTAAAGGTGATAAGAGTAAAACTGGTGCTAGTTTCAACTGTTGGCACTTGGCAGTATCCGATCGATTACGGTGATAATCCGAAGTTGCGGTTTTAGGGCAGCATGCCAAGATTCAGGGTAAAAAATCGCAGCATGTGGTAAATATGTACACGCAGTAGACTTGAAAGCAAAAGAATCAACCAGTAATTATCCATCCCTTTCATCTTTCTGCACACAGTTTCCATGTCCAGCCTACAATATAATAGTAGATTGAAATATAAAAACACAGTATGATTAACCCAGCGACAATGCACAAACACAACCTCTTTGTTTTTAATTAAGTCACATAATTAACGACTGATGCATGCATGACACGTCTCAAAAGATCATCGTCGTAGTGACAATGTATGAACTTGGTGTTGAACTTTCTTCTTCCTTTGTTGGCTAAAAAAAAAACTTTTGCAGTAACTGGTTTCATCATGTGTGCCTATGAGTAGAACTTGAACTTGCAGCCACATGAGATTACTATGATGAACATGTAATCTACGAGTAGAACTTGTATGTCTTGGCATCTATGATGATCTGCCGGAGTCCTCCGATTGGTGACAGGATCATGAGCATCACTCCAAGAATGATGCAGATCTGAAAGAGAATCAGTTGAAAAAAACAAATCAGATCAGAATGCAAGATCAAGCAGAGGCATTTTCATTTCAGACAAAAACAGGGGAGAAGATTGAAGAAAAACAGAGCATAATTAGTTTGTGTGTTCTTACCCAGTTGGTGAACCATGAGAGACTGAACCTTCTTGGCTTGTAGATTGCTAGCCACATGATGCAGGGAAGCTGCCAAAGAACACAGAAAAAAATAACCGTCAGTTCTGAACTCTGATCATCTCTCAGACTCTCACCCATCAAAACGAAATGATCAATGGAAAACTTACGAAGTAAGTAGTTGGCGCGAAGGCGAATCCACCGAAGAACCCAAGCAATCCACCGAAGAACGGGAAGGTGATCGCGATGAACATGGTGAACGCTGCACAGATTCCAGATCAGTTTCAGCCATGCCAAGATCTAATAAAAAATTCAGTTAAGTTCAGATGATGAACACTTGAACAGTGCTTACCAACGTAGAGTGTTCTTGCGATGAGGCGAAGCGTGAGGCCGGGAGGGAATCTGAGCTTCTTGACGAGCACGGTCTCGATCATGTCGAACACCGGCATGGCGTAGATCTGGTAGCTCCCGATGACATGGATGACGACCATCATGTTTGCGAGCGCGATGAGCCATTTGGGCCTGGAGAGCGTGATGAGGATGTTGTCGTCGACGTGGTTGCCGAACGCCCAGTATCCGACGAGCGCCACGGGGAAGTAGCAGAGCGCGACGATGATGTAGGCGACGACGACGCCCTTCCACATCGGCTTCTTGGACGGCTTCTCCGGCGTCGACGGGATGGTCGCCTGGATCTCCAGCACCACGTTGTGCCCCGCGTACGCGAACGCGACGTCGCCCAGCGCGCTGAAGAAGCCGAACACCTTCCCCGTCGACGTCGTGGCGCGCAGGTGGTAGTCGACGTCGGCCACCTTCCCCTTGTCCACCGACGCGCCCCACGCGATGGTGGAGTAGCTGAGCGACATGACGGCGGCGGCGAGGGACACGCCGGAGATGGAGTTGAAGTTTGGGAGCTGCGAGAGGACGAAGTGGACGGAGGCGAAGATCATGATGAAGTAGGTGAGCTTGATGTTCTTGCAGCCGTGGCCCTCGCAGAGCACGTCGTGGAACTTCTTCAGCGACTTGCCGCCGGTGACCATGTACACGATGTTGACGCCGACCTCGACGACGAGCTGCTGCGGCACCACGATCCAGAGGCCCAGCTTCTCGCCGAACGCGTGCTGCCCGAGCTCGTGGTACCTGTCGAACCGCTTCCCGGGCACCATCTCGTGCATCTCCACCATCTGCCACAGCGTGTAGAGCGTGATGATCCATGACAGGATCAGCACCGCGATGCCAGGTCCCCTGCAAAAATTCAAGAATTCAGTTAGATTAATTTCTTGGTTCGTTCGTGTGTTCTTCGTTCAGATGAAGATGAAGAAGATAGTAGGACTGACCAGCCGAGCTCGGACATGGCGTAGGGGAGGCTGAGGACGCCGGCGCCGACCATGGCGGTGACATTGTGGAAGGCGGAGTACCACCACTTGGCGTTCCTGGACGACGTGATGGGAAGCCAGTCGTCGATCGCCTTCTCCTGCGCGCTCCGGCCATCCTGCCACCATTGTTTCGCCATTGATTAATTCAAGCTTGCTACTTTGCTACAGATGGTTGATCTCAACAGTACTAGTACAGACTACACTCTATGCAAGAAAGGTTTGTTCTTCTTCTTGTTCTGAAGAATTCGGCTCTTCTTTATACATCAATATGTACGCCGAATCGGGAAATTTTTCCCAAATTGTTTCGCATTTTTCACTTTCGGTTTTTAGCAACATGGAAAAGTAGCAAGTTGTCCCATAAACGGAATATCTTTGTTGGGCCAATAATTCGCCATTTCAAAGTTTCTATTCTTACGTTTTTTGAAAATCGAGATTTCGAATCATTCGAGTAATGCTTTTAATACTTTTCAATGTGCTATAACGTCGTCGCCAATTCTGTAAACCTTTAATTCTTGAATGCCTGGCTAAGTTTAGAACGGATAATTATGCGCGTTCATGCTTTCTTTTTCTGTCTGATTTATCAAGCGAGACTTTGCAAATTTATATATTTGTTTTCAAGGAGAACAAAAATGGCTAAGTTTAGAATGGATAATTATGTGTTGATGCTTTACTTATCCTATAGTAGAATTCCTATAGGATAGGTGTTTTGTATAAATATTTGTAGAACAAACATATATATCATTTGATAAATTATGGAGTATGATTTATCAGTTGAGACTTTGCAAATATATTTTTTTATTTTTAAGAAGAACAAAATATCTAAGTTTAGAATAGATAATTATCTGTATTGATGCTTTCTTTTTTTTTTTCAATGATTTATAGGTTGAGACTCTGCACATATATATTTTTAAGGAGAGCAAAATGACTAGGTTTAGAATGGATACTTATGTGTATTGATTCTTTCTTTTATTTTGTCGGATTTATCCATTGAGAGATGCAAATATATTTTGTCAGAATAAAAAACTCACTAATCAAGGGGCATGATTTTCAAAGCTCCACCATGGACTGTGGAGGCAAGTTAGATTATCTTAAAAAAAATCTTCATACAATCACAACACTAATAGACAAGTGACAGATCAGTGGCAGGACTTTTCAATTCAATGACACGCCATGTTTGAAAATTATAATGCAAACATGAGACTGAACTAGTGATTTATTTTCTTATTGGCAGTTGACTTTATCACATGGCCACTTTGCAATAGAGTCAATGCTATGAGCTATCTGATGCTTATCAATGACACCTCAGGAGGATAGAAATTTTTTTTACCTACCACGCCAAGCTCACCTAACGACAGTAATACTTTTATATCAAGTAGAGCACACTTAGAGTGATGCATGATTATCTAATAATGATTTGGGGATACAAAACTAGGCTGAGATTACAAAGTTTTGATTCTTAAGACAGGACTTGAAAACTAGAGCAGAGAACACCAAATTTCTTCAGACTAGTAACAACTTGCTTCTAATATACCCAATCTTTTAACTTTTTATTTTAAGATAACACCCGATCTTTTAACTAACATCTTGCAGCCTTGTTATTGGAGTTTGTGTCCAGCCAATCTGTTTGGGTTAATCAATTTGTCGTGCTCACCATATGGGTAATTATACTAATCCAGCTTGACCCCTCGTTAACTGTAATTTTTATGTTATCAGAAGTTTGCCAGAAACTGATGACTATTCCAATGTACTCCATAGAATAAAATAGTCTTCCAAAATAATGCTTTCCTATACCTTTTTGGGCTATGGAAATTCCTAAAAATGTCTCTCTCCATCATCTGGAGTTAATCCTAAAAATATTATATATATATATATATATATATATATATATATATATAAGAATCCGCGTCCCAGATGGGCTACAGTGTCATACAGTATGGCCACGGACAGATCCTAGCATGGGCAGCTGTTATTTATAACAAAAAAGAAAATTCATTGCCAGCCAAACATAACAATTTCTTGGAAAATTTTCCATGTGATAGGTGTTTTTTTTCTGATAGGAATTGCTGGTCTTGGAAGCTAAAGCGAAATATAGAACTGTCAGTGTACTGTGCAGTAACAAGGATTTCTCAATAGGCCAAACAAGACAGCGACCATGTGAAGGAGACACTTTTATTTCCAGTTAGTACCTTTCTATGTAGTGCATTTAATTTCTAAAAGGCTAAGGAAAAGAAATTTCTGCAAGAAAAAATAGTGCAGTTCTGACTTCTGACCATGGTAAGAAATTCAGTGAGAATTCTGACTCTTACAGCTGAACACTGAAGAACAGAGTGGTAGGGATATAGTACAAACAGCCTGTAAACAATATCTTTTCGAAAACAGAGGATTTTTAAAAACAATTCTGCAGTTAAGGCAAAGTACTGAAACCACACCGATCCTATGATATGATAGGTAAATATATATACTGTTCCTCATATGTTTGTGTTCAATGAAGAAGAAGAAAAAGGTGAGAAAAAGGAGTGAGAACGAGCTGCAATCGATCTCCATTTTCACATGAAGAAGATGAACTAGGACAACTAGACAGGTGCTGCCAAGAGGCTGCAAGGTGGGGTCCTCCGATTGGTGTTGCGATGCCGGCAAAGGAGAGAATCCTCCATGAAAAAGGAGTCCAAAACAACACTTTTTGAACTCTACCTTTCTCGTGTGCAAAGGTATCTCAAAAATGTTCCCTTTTCATCAACTGAATCAACGACGGCATGACCAACTCTTTGCTTGTCCATTTCATGCCCTCCCGGCTTCTCGCAGCTCGACATGAAAACTCCTCCAAATTTAATTTGATCTTTAATTCTTTCCGTTTATTTTTGAAAAAGCAAAACAACGCTGCCGATCATCTTTTCATAGAGAAACGGTCCTAGAAAGAAAGAAAAAACCCTTTTGGTTGTTGTTTTTTCTTCTTCTTTTATTTGGATAAATTAACAAGACTACCGACGAAAGATCAAGATGAAGAACACAAACAACAAGTTCAGAAACACACATCGATCTCCAATGGAGACAGACAGAGAGAAACAGAGATGGATGCTGATGAACAAACAAATACCTTGGCCGGTGGGTAGTTATCTGCCACCTGAGTCCCCATGATCACCTGATCTCCTCCTCCTTCGTCTACCTCTTCTTCTTTTGCAGCAATGGAGGATCAGAGGAAGAAGAAGAAGAAGAAGAAGAAGAAGAAGGGTTGCTGCAAGGAGGCCGGCAGATCAGAGTCGCCAAGTCTCTACTTATAGAAGAACAAGAGGAAGAAGATTATTAAGCCCAGACCCCAGTGAGTTGTGAACGTGAAGAAGTTAACGGCAATGGCGACTGGGTTAGTTGACCGTTGACTCCAGCGCAGCAGCTATTTTTGCGTCGTAATTTCACGGATATTGGGGAGGAATTAATGCTCTCAGTCTCAGATGGGGGTTACTATTATTAAATCGGGTGGTGTGTGCCGTCCGTCAGATCCAGGATAGACGGTCCAGATGATGATGGTGATTTTTTTTTTATGTCTCTTGGAGGGACTCTTGTTTTGCTAACTCACAAAAAAAAGAGAAAAAGATAATCAGAATTCATAACGCATGGCACATGGAACCACAGGAGCTCTGGAGTTTATAAACAGTAGTAGCGTGTGCCGAAATTCTCTCGGTTAGGTCCAGCACTTGGCGTGTTTAAATTCTGTTTGGAGGGTTGACTCGTAAGAAATCGTGTTCGAATTCATAGTATATTCGTCAAAACATGTACTACTCTATAAAAAAAAATGCAATCTTAGCTATGAACCTAGACACATGTATCCAGGTTACTTGGTAGGATTAGATTTTTTATGGGACGGAGAGGGTAAGCATTATGAATTTAGGTAAAGCATTTTTGAATATGTATAGGGATAAGAGCTTATCTTTTATCCAGATACATATCTTAAAATGCCTTTTTTTTTGTCTAGATACATTGTAATGTCCATATACATAGTAAAAAAAATATTTTCTTCAATCTTATCCACTGCATATTTGCCTTCTACATAAACACTCATCTTCCGACTAGTAACATGTTTAGACAAACCGTCTGTTTTCTTTCTTTTTTGAGAGGGTCTTGCTTTCTTTTATTTTAGAAACATTGTTTGCTGCAGTTGTTACTGCTCAAACAACTAATATCACAAATTAAATGACATACAAGCTATCCCTCCAATTACAAATATGAGTAATAATTATCGATGTTTTCGAAATTGACAAGGTCTTTGAACAATTTTTTGACTAGAAATTTATATTGATTCTTTTACAAAAGTGGCGTATCCAACATATTTTAAGAATACCTTTAAGACAAATCTACATTATACATATTCATAATGCCATCAAATGCCATATATTCTTTTTATGACCAATACAGAGAGAGACAGAGGATGTGCAGTTGTCAACAGCCGACTGTAGCTAGCACATGCCAACTTTACCCCTATACAGTTCATATATGATGGATCAATCTGCATGGCCTCAATTGCCCATTTCTACATTTGTTTTTCGTTTTATTTTTTTCCAACAAGGTTTGATTGGTCTAGCAGATTATAATGCTGAAAAATAACTTGTTTATCTACCTAAATATAGCTTTCTCTGTATCCACTAATCTAACATTATGTAAAACATCATGTAATCTAGCAATAGGTGACCTTTTCAAACAAATATCTATACAGAATTAACAAGACATTATTGCCACGACAGCATCCGATGGAACCTCACAGCAAATGGGCAGTACTCGGCAAAATCGGCCTATCGACTACAATTCCTTGGGGCTGCCAAATCTACCTTCTATCAGTCAATCTGGAAGGCATGGGTGCCGCCGAATTGCAAGTTCTTCTCTTGGATGGTCACGCAAAATAGAGTATGGACAACAAACAGGCTGGAAAAAAGAGGATGGCAAAACCAAAAGATTTGCCCACTTTGTTATAATGTTGATGAATCGGCCCTGCATCTCCTGGCCAAATGCAGACTCACAAAGAGGATATGGGCAGAAATACAGAGATGGACCGGGACTGACCTTCAGATGGACAACTGGGAAAGCTGTCACTCAGTCGAGCAATGGTGGACACTCGTAACGGAATCTCCAAACACCCCACGCAAACCTCTCAGGACCCTGGTGATTTTAATCTCGTGGGAAATCTGGTGCGAAAGAAACACAAGAATCTTCCGCAACAATGCATCTACGCCATCCTCAATTCTAGCAAAGATCAAGGAGGAAGGGAGAGCATGGGGTCAAAGCAAGGGCTTCAATCCTGCAGGAGTTCAGAATTTTGGGAGATATCACTTAATCCCTGTTTTTTGCCTCTCCTCTTGCGGGTTATTTGTTTCGTTTTTTTTCATCTAACCCTATATATATCTCGCTATATTTTTTTTCTGCTCTATTAATATATTCAAGGCAAAGCTTTTGCCTTCCTTATAAAAAACAATACATTATTGACTTCCCCAAGAAAAAGAATAAGAGAATATCAAGCTATCCTCACGAATGAAAAAGACATGATTGAATTTCACATGAATGGTGGCTTTTATTGTCAGCCGCAACCAAAATTTAAATTTTAAAACTTAAGCTTATATAGTTTATTCTATTTTTTGTTATTGTACTCTATTTTACTGCTTTCGTTTTTAAGCCGTTAAGAACAAATTGATATAAAAGTTTCACCAAAAAATATTTTTGGTTGTTTTGTTTATTTTTTCTATGACTTATTAGCTATAACTCTGACCATAGCCGATACTATTTCTCAACATTCTTTTTAGAGAGAGACAACTGGAATTACATAATCCATAAGTTTATCTTTATGTCGATTTTATGAAAGCTAGGAGTAATGGAGGGATTAATTTTGGTTGAAGAAAACAGCTGGAAGCATATCCCAAGGCAATGGGAGGGGCTCCACTTCTCTTTGAGCTGATTGGCCATCAGATTTTAATGCTTAGCTATGAACATACAAAAGGCTACATAAAGCAAGATTCCTAGTGGGAGATTCTTCTAGCTTATCACCAACCATGGAGCCCTATCTAGATTCCAATTCTCACTCAACCACCGGAATCCAGAAAGGAGAAATGGATATTATTAATTTAGAAATAAATTTTTTGGGTTCCGAAAATGCAGATGAAATAGGGCAATTCCTAGACGTCACTCTAGCATCATGGGGTGTCATGATAATGAAATTGTCTGATCACAAAGTTAAGAGAAATTAATTCTTATCCTTTCTTTGGAACACTTGAGAGAATTTTTCGTGATTTCCATAAATTAAAAATCGGACTAATTAACATTAAAACTATGAAGTTTTTCATAGAATATTCCTATATTCCAATTAATTCAGCAAATAATTGGCATGAATTCATCCTTTTTGTTTGTGGTAGTTTTTAAAGGATTAAGAGGCCCCATCAGGAATCATTGGTTTTCTAATAAATCACTGATAAGGTTGTGTTTGGCTTCACACGGTAATATAATCAGTTAGGTTACCTACGTTGTTTCCTTTATCTGAAAAGGAGTTAATTGGAATAAACTTGTGTTTGACAACTACTTGCAGTTAGTCATGCTAGCAATATAAGAGGACAACTACTTGCAGTTGGTCATGCTAGCAATATAAGAGGACAATCCTTCATCGTTTTGATGTGTTTATTTAATCACATCCCGAATGGTTAAATATTTCATAATTGTTTAAATTTCTGATAAGTTGAGCTGTGGCTGAAAAGCCATAGAAAAAAACTGAGGCAATAACAAAATTATGGTTAAAACTTATCTATATTATTAGTGGTTTAAAACTTAAGGTAAAAATATGCTGCAATGGAAAAAACCAATTGATTCTAAATTAAAGTTCCAAAAAGCAAACTTAAGAAACAATGACAAACCAATAAACGAACGATGAGGGCCTTAGTTTCTGGGATTTCTTTGGTGACCCCTAATAACCTTTTAGCTTTGAGCTAAATAACCAAATACTAAGAATGAGTTAATTAATGAGGAAAACCACCATCAAGAGGAACAAAACTTTTTTTTTTTTGCGGGGAAAGAGGAACAAAACTTAGACGGTTGCAAAATTAATAAGCCATTTGTCACGAACATGTCATACCATCTAATAACAAAAGAGGACAAAAAGATATAACTGAAAGAGTATAAGCATATACATTTCTCCATCACAGAACCGGCCAATTAATCTGGAGTTTGTACACATCAGTAAAAGAATATTTAACATCCCCCTTGTACCAAATTTAGGTGTACATACCTAGACGACGTAGCTGTTTGACAACCCACAATATCTGTCTGAATTATATTACAAAACATCTCCATATTGTCTATCCAATTAACAAGTACTAACCGCCATATCACAGAGAGAGAGAGAGAGAGAGAGAGAGAGAGAGAGAGAGAGAGAGAGAGAGAGAGAGAGAGAGAGAGAGAGAGAGATGTGAGTTGAAATTATTTGGAAAATTCGTGTGAATTGTAATGCCAATGATATGTGGCAACTGGCAGGCGTTCATGCAGGCTAGTCGGCATCCTGCTATTGGTGTTATTCTCTCGTCAATTCCGTTAATTATTTGGTCTTTGCGTTGATCGATCATACTATGAGACAATTATTCACTTGACCGATGGTGAATTCTTGATCGTATTTCACAATAGATGTAAAGACGAATTTGTTGCTGCAATCCAAACACAAGTGAACAATACGTTGTAATCACGCAAAAAACTGTAGCAAACAATCTTGAACACCAAAAGTCAAGCAGAAGATGGAACAGAATTGTCCGAAGTGACAAGTAGTGACGCTATGTAGTACGTTGTACCGATTGTGATTAGTGACCAAAGCGTAATTCGTCTAGATTTTCAAGTTTCAACTTTTTTCACATCTCAAATGATACCATGGGCAAAGGACAAGCTGTCACTAACTAGTTCGTTTATTTCACCGCAGATTTGAAGCGTACGGCACCAAAATTTCATGCTGCCTGATCATAAATTATACAGCCCCATCGTTTTCGAGCACTAAGCTAAACAACATATTTACAAACGAAAAATAATGCAATAAGCCAAACAACATATTTACAAACAAAAAATAATTTATGAATAAAAATTTTTATATACGTGTTCTTAATTATATAAAAATAAAGGCTGAAAAATAAACTACGATAAAAAAAACAAAAATCAACTCTAAATTTAAGTTGATCCCACTTTAAGGAAAACGAGCGAATTAAACAAGTCACTGTCATAAACAGCAAGTTGAGTAGAGTTGTACTCCTCCTCCTTGACTCTGAATCTGAATTATCAGGCGTGGCCATCTTTGCTGA